TATACAATACGGGATTGAAGGAGGAGAACCCTGCATGCAGTCATTTTTTATCATCGCTCGTACAAAGAGGATTTGAGATGAGTTTAAGGCAGAACGTACGCAAGAGGCCAGTGCAGGACCGAATGCGAGACAGAAATGCAATTCTTGCTTTTTTTAAAAAAAGTGCAAACGCATTAAAGCTTATGTTAAAGTGTTGCCATCACTCACACAGCTCGCTCCCGATTCCATGACCTCCGATTTGGGATTTCGTTCCCGTCTCGCTGACTTTCAGTGGGAGAAAGACCAGTACAACCAGTACAATCTCTTTGAAGGGAATATTGCGACCACAAAGGGACACCAAGGACAGACGCAGAGCTAGAACTGTGCTCTGGATTGGTTTTGAATCAGGGTTATCTTCCCTCCAAGTAGCGCTGGAGTTACGACTGGTGAGATCAAGGTGGGTGGGATGGAACAGTATACATTTTTAGTTTTTTTTTTGGCAAGTTCCTCATTATAAAACGAAACACAATTCCTCGGACTGTCTCTAGGGAGCAGAGATGATAACCCAGATTAAAATTGGGTTAAGCACCCCTGGTCGGCCAACCAGTCTTGCAGACAATGAAACAGAAAAGGGGGCACTAAGGAAGTGCGGGCACCGACTGTGTTTGGGGTTGGGCAACAGGGTCGAACTGCACCCAAGATCAAACATTGGTTCGCCATGTTGCAGAGAATTGGGAAAGAGACCTCCGGCGTCCCTCGGCAAGGGGAAAAAGAGAAACACCCACTTGAACGACAGCGACCAAGAGTTTAAAAATATATATATATATATACCTATAAAATGCTAAATTGTGCTCATACCAAAACGACATCCTGCCAGTCTTCTGATGTTTCTTTAGCCAAAGAGGACCCTCGTGTCTAGTGGAAAGTAGAGGCTGGATTTAAGAGAAGAAGGCATCAAACAGGCGAAAGAAAAACGTGGTGGGATTTATCAATTACGAGCGGACTTCGGAAGGGGGCAGACAGAGAGAGAGAGAGAGAGAGAAAGAAGGACATACAACTGGGGGAACAGTCATGGAGACAGGGGTGTAAAAACAACCTGGGAGAGAACCCACAACTTTTGGTTACAATAAGGAATCTCATGTATCTACTACCTATTTACAAAGTCCACGCTAATTTTTGCATATGCAATCATTGAAAATCAGTGCGAAGCCGAGGATCTCTGTGGAAGAGAAGGTGGAGGACGAGGCGGGGAGGGGGAGAAGGGAACATGTCCATCTAGGCCCCCCCCCAGGGCCATCTTCGGCTCCCCCTCCCCTCAAATGGACAACAATGGTACAGAAGAAAACCAACAAAACAAGAGAGGACAAAATGGACCCCGGGATCTTGACATGTCCAAAAACTTAAAAACGGATTACCCTTTTCCGTTCACCCTTTCCCTTTTTTTTTTTTTTTAAGGATCTAGGTCAGGAGTCACCAAACTTGACAGCTTTTAAGACTTGTGGACTTCAGCTGCTAGAATTCCCCGGCCCAAGGAATTTTGGGAACCGAAGTTCACAAGTCTGAAAGGGGTCAGGATTGGCGACCCCTGGCCTTGGAAGGTCAACAGGACAAGTCGGAAGATGCTCCACTGGCCGCTGAAAAATGGCTTTCGGATTTGTGCTTAGTGTGAATTTTCAGGGTGAAGCGGTCAATCCTGCAAAAAATTCATCAATTGGCGGGGGGGGGGGTGTATTTTTTTGGGTGGGGGCAGGTTCCCCCCCCCCTCTGGCCCTGGGGTTGAGAGAGAGCACGTGCGCAAGAGAGACCTTCAATTTTGCAGGTGACCAATTTTTTCCCCGTCTTTTACGAGCTGGAAAGAAAAACCGGAGGATTGTAATTCTACTGTCCCCGTCGAAAGAGGAAGATTATGCCGATCTGGATTTATGGGACACCCCCCCCCCTCCTTCCCAAAAGCTCACAAGGCTTGGACACTTAATCTTGGCCTTATTCCACTCTGCAGCGGCCAGTAAGGAGATCTGTTTGGTCAGCCCCACCGCCGAGACGGTCCCAAGACCCACCTTGTGGTTGGGGAACGCACAGCCCAGCACCAGCAATGAGACACGTATACAAAACCAGAACGACGACAAAAAGTAGGGGAGGAAAAATAAACATACACAAGAAAAAAAAAACACCCCATGATTCCTGCTTAAAAATTCAAGCTTCCATTTTTATATATATATATATATTGATTTCTGAAGTGCAAACCACTTCCAGGGTTGCTTTAGATATCTGCCTAAATTTTGCAACGTGTCACAGAATCTAATTAAATCCAATCCTCCCCATTTTTTTTTTTTTTTTACTTCTATTTCCCTATCAAAGCCAACAAACCAAAATGGTCAATTCCATTTGAGTCTTTTTCTTCTTTCTTTCTTTCTCTCTCTCTCTCTCTCTCCCCCTCTCTTTGCAAATATATAGATATATATATATATATATACATATATGTTTTTTTCTCTTACAAAAATAAATTTCAATTTTAGGAATTATTTTAATAAAAACAATAGACAACAATAAATTTCTCTCCGTAGAAGATGGTTTCAACGTGTAAACATATTCGTTTCTTTCTTTTTTTTTTAATATAGATATATAGATATATATTTTCTCTTAAATTAAGATAAAGTGATTTTTAAAGTACCCGTTCCATTTCAAAGTGCTAAGACTTCTTTGTTTCTAATCTCTTTTTTTTTGTGTGGTTTTTATTGCTTTTTTTGTATTAAATAAAACATCCATCTTGTTCTGCTTATTTTTTATATATATATATAAATCCTCTCTCAATACACACATGCTCCCCTATTTAATTACATTCGGCCAAACAGTTCACCTTTTTTTTAATATATAGTTATATTAAAAAGGAAATCTAAAAAGTGCTTGTCAAAGGAAAAAAAAAGAACGAAAAAAAGGAAATAAGACTAAAATTCTCATATATATATATATATATATATATATATATATATATATATATATATATATATATATATATATATATAATGTTTAAACTGTGCATTTAAAAAATTCTGAAATAGCTAAAGGTGCCCTTAGTTTATTTTATTTTTAGCTTAGAGGGAGCTGTGTCTTTAAATATATATAGTTTTTTGATACAGCTACTTGCTTACCGACAGGAGAGGATAAATAGGAAGAGATTTGCTAAATCACCCCCAAAGACAATTTTGGACCGCAAACCTTATCACCATCCAAATAGACACCTGCTTAAGCATAAACCTGGCTAGTAAACCCGGCTATCTAAGACTCCCAGAACGAGGGAGCGTACAAAAATAGGAAGATACATAATGGGGAAGTGGAGGGGGGAGGGGAAAGAACCTGCTTTTCCTACCCTGAATTAACCAGGGTTTAATTTATGCCAGGAACAAATCATTTTTCCTACAAAGCCATCACTGGGCATATATTTAGGGCTTGTTTTGTGCCAAGTGGGGTACAGACAAGATGTTTAAGAAAAGCTGGAGGCAGAGAAGGGCCTAGAACAGTGGTTCTCAACCTGTGGGTCGGGACCCCATTTGGGGTCGAACGACCATTTCACGGGGGTCGCCAAACAAGGCTGTCCGCCATTTTTTCCCCTTTTCTTTGGCCACGCCCCTGGCACCCGGTGATGTATAAGTGGTTGGGGGTCACCACAACATGGGGAACTGTATTATGGGGTCGCGGCATTAGAAAGGTTGAGAACCACTGGCCTAGAAAAATCCAGACCCCTGGCTTAGCTCTGGGGGGGGGGGCAGTCCAGGTCTCTCACCAACTTAAGTGTCCGCTATGGTCCAACTCTGTGTTCAACCTAAAATATTTTTTTTTTGGGTGTGGGGGGGGGGAGTACCGCTCTTCCTTCTCCACCCATGAAGGTGGATCTGCCTAAATGAAACTAATCACCATCGGGAGAGATGGGATGTCTGGACAATTTGGGGGGCACCTCTGACGTCGGGAGTGTCTCGCATCGGCTTCCCTGGCATGCTGGCTGATTAAAGGACAACATTCCCACGTACAACAAAGATCTCAAGAAGTTTGGGAGGGTCGGGAAAAGAGATTCATAGTGAAACGGAAGCAAACCAACTCCAGAAGGAAAAACTAAATCAACTATCTGGAATCGGTAAGCCAAGATGTAGCCTTGTTGGAACGCAACAGTCTTGGCCCCAGCCCAGCTTTGGAAAGGGTGGCTTGTTCTAACTGTTGAGGGGGTTGGGGTTTGTTTGATCACAAATAATCCCCCCAAAAGCTTAGCACTTTTAATCCTTTGGCCCACATAACACTACGTGGGTCTCCCCCCGCCCCGGTTTGGAAGAAACTCAGGACACCAACTTAGTTTTCCTTGCTTTTAGCCAACATCCTGTCCCGGAACCTGACATTTGGGAATTGTGCCCAACAAATGTTGAACCCCTTTTTTTCTACCACACACTGACAGCGTGAAGAATTTAGTCGCTTGGCGCCCTTCACCAAACTTTTAAAAACAGGCCCGGAATTCTCTGCCAACAGCCTTAAAAATGACAATTTGACTTAAAATGAAAACTCTTCAAGAAGTTTTGTAGAAAAAATGAGAATATTTAGAACAGGGCAGGAGGGGAAGGGAAGGGCAATTGGGAAGAAACAGCGATATTTTCCCCCCACCTAACGCTTCCTCTGTTTTCTTTTTTTGCTTTTTTAAGTCAGCCAACTCACTGACCACCCTCATTGTGTCCCTTTGGAACAGCAGCTTCTAAAATACCTACAAAAAAAGGCCATTATAATATATATGTCTGTATGTATATATATATATATATATAGTTTTAAAACTTAAAAACTAAAATTCTGGAAGCTTCGTTTCATGTTTTGCAGACCTCTTCTCTCCACACATACTCTCCCCTCCCACCCCGACCTCTGGCTCAAAGCCTTGATCGCTGGGTGGTCTCCTTTCATCCATGGCTAACGAGAGTTTATCATCGAACGGGAAGATCACAAGCAGAGATACATTATACACCTATAAGGCTATTCTGACTTTTCTGTGGTTTTTTTTTTTTTTTGCATTTTGTCCCAAAAAAAAAAAAAAAAGGTGAGGAAACCATATATATATATATACTTTTTTTTTTTCTCAAGAGGAACCGGAGGAAAGTTATAACTAGATTTTGTGACACTTTTTTTTTTCTTTCTTTCTTTTTGGTTTAGGAAAGTCCTCGTGTTTTTTTTTTTTTTAATACCCTCAGATAATTCCCCCAGCTACATTCAAACTTCCCGACGCCTCGTTGGCGTTCGAACTCTCTTCAAAGTGCTCTTCTAACTCGTCCTGGGGCGCGGCGGGCCCCTGCATCTCCTCCGCCTCCTCGCCTCCCGCCAGGCTGCCGCTGTCGTCGGGATTCGAACTCGGGACCGGGGCGACGACGGCCGCTTCTCTCACCCGGGGTTTGCGCCCCCTGCGGGAAGGAATGCCGTTGCAGCCATCTTTCTTAAGGTGCCGATGCAAGTGGTCGGATCGGACGAAAGTCTTGAAGCAGCTCTCGCACTGGTACGGGCGGAGGCCCGTGTGAACGCGCATGTGGTTTTTCAGGTCGTAATTGTGGGCGAAGGCAGCGCCGCATTGCTGGCACAAGTAGGGCTTCTCCCCGGTGTGTTTCCTCATGTGGACCTTCAGCTTGTCTTGCCTGCAGGGAAAGGGGTGGGAAAAAAACAACAAAAAAAACAAAAAACAAAAAGGGAGTCAGGGCGAATTGGCTCGCTGACTTGAGCTCGCTCTTTTTCTTGTCTTGGCTCAGCTAGGTTATCTCCTGAGATTCAAGCGGTGTTTTTCAAACTCGGCCATTTGAAGGTGAATGGACTCCCAGAATTCCCCAGGAACCGTCATGCTGGCTAGGGAATTCTGGGAATTGAAAATTGCTCCCTGGGTATATCCACATATTGTGAGAGCCATTTTCAACTTCCATGCTTAGCTGGGGAACTCTGGGCATTGTAGTCCATGCTTGAGGAGAGCATCCATACTGGAAAGGCACTCACTTCTTCCTGGGGCAAAGCTCACTTAACAACTATCCCACTTAGCAACAGAAATGTTGGCCTATTTTGGTCATAAGTCGAGGACTACCTGTACTTGAACAACGATAATGATATTCAGAGTTCTTACACTCTTAAATTCTGATTCCAGTTATCCCTGGAAAACTATGAATTGCCCGAGGGAATATAAAGCAGCTTTTTAAAAATTTCCTCCCATTTTTGTGATAATCATTTGGGATACGTAAGATTTGCGTTACACTCTCAAGTTGCTCCACTAAAGGTTAGCCAGTGCTAAGGACCTCTAATCTCTTGGGACTCAATCCTGGACAGATTCGGTTCTATCCTGAATCTCTTACACTGTTCTGGATGAAGCAAGATATAGGGCTGTGGAGCTGTGCTGGCACAGTGGTTAGAATGCAGCATTGCAGGCTGACTCTGCCCAGCGTCTGCAGTTCGATCCTGATGGGGCTCGAGGTTGACCCATCCTTCCGAGGTTGGTAAAATGAGGACCTGGATTGTTCGGGGGCAAGAGGCTGACTCTGTAAATTGCTTAGAGAGGGCTGTATAGCACTGTGAAGTGGTATACAAGTCTGTGCTAGTGCTACTGTATCTGTCATCCATACATCCATCCATCTATTCATTATCTTCTCTCTCTCTCTCTCTCTCTCTCTCTCTCTCTCTCTCTCTCTCTCTCTCTCTCTCCACCATCTTCTCTCTCTCTATCCTTCTATCTATCTATCTATCTATCTATCTATCTATCTATCTACCTACCTACCTACCTACCATCTTATCTCTATCCTATCTATCTATCTATCTATCTATCTATCTATCTATCTATCTATCTATCTACCTACCTACCTACCTACCTACCTACCTACCTACCTACCTACCTACCTACCTACCATCTTATCTCTTTCTACCTACCATCTTATCTCTTTCTCTCTACCATCTTATCTATCTATCTATCTATCTATCTATCTATCTATCTATCTATCTATCTACAATCTTACCTCTCTCTCTCTATCTATCCATCCACCATCTTATCTCTCTCTCTCCCCCATATTATCTCTCTCTCTATCGTCTCATCTATCTATCTATCTGTCTGTCTCTGTCTATGTATGTATGTATGTATGTATGTATGTATGTATGTATGTATGTATCTATCTATCTATCTCCATCCATCCATCCACTTATCTCTCTCTATCCACCATCTTATCTTTCTATTTCTCTCTATCCACCATCTTATCTCTCTCTCTATCTATCCACCATCTTTTCTCTCTGTCTATCCACCATCTTATCTCTCTCAATCCTCCTATCTATCTATCTATCTATCTATCTATCTATCTATCTATCTATCTATCTATCTATCATCTATCAATCTACCTACCTACCTACCCACCCATCCATCTATATTCTCTCTCTCTCTCTCTCTCTCTCTCTCTCTCTCTCTCTCTCTCTCTCTCAAGAGGTCTGGCACAGTGGTTAGAATGCAGCATTGCATTTGGCACTTAATTGTGGTCGTAAGTCAAGGACTTCAGAGAGAAGGGGGGGGAAAGCTGATTGAATGTTCCAGTTTTTGTAACTGTCTTATTTGTTCTAGGCTTCAGAACCCTTTTAATGGACTCCGGATGGCTCAGACAATTCCCCTGACTGGAAAGCTAAAAGCATCGTCAACCAAAGCTGGGACAAAGGAGTGGAAATTCCTTCTCCGTGTTAAGTTTAGGAGGCCTGTTGGTCGAGCTACATATTAGAATAGAACAGAATTTAACAGAGTAGGAAGCGACCTTAGAGGTCATCTAGTCCAACCCTGTGCTCAGGCAGGAAACCCTATACCATTTCAGATAAATGGTTGTCCAATCTCTTCTTAAAAACTTCCAGTGTTGGAGCATTCACAGCTTCTGGAGGCAGGTTGTTCCACGGGTTAATTGTTCTCACTGTCAGGAAGTTTCTCCTTAGTTATAGGTTGCTTCTAGTTCTAGGCCAGGGGTAGGCAACCTTGGCTCTTTTATGATTCGTGGACTTCAACTCCCAGAATTCCTGAGCCAGCCACGCTGAGGGGAAAGGGAGAGGTTTCCAAGCTGAGTCATGCTGGCTGAGGGATTCTGGGAGTTGAAGTCCACGAGTCATGAGGGGGCCATAGTTCCCCCATGCTGGCTCAGGAATTCTGGGAGTTGAAGTCCACGAGTCATGAGGGGGCCATAGTTTCCCCCATGCTGGCTCAGGAATTCTGGGAGTTGAAGTCCACGAGTCATGAGGGGGCCATAGTTTCCCCCATGCTGGCTCAGGAATTCTGGGAGTTGAAGTCCACGAGTCATGAGGGGGCCATAGTTCCCCCATGCTGGCTCAGGAATTCTGGGAGTTGAAGTCCACGAGTGATGAGGGGGCCATAGTTCCCCCATGCTGGCTCAGGAATTCTGGGAGTTGAAGTCCACGAGTCATGAAGGGGCCATAATTCCCCCATGCTGGCTCAGGAATTCTGGGAGTTGAAGTCCACGAGTCATGAGGGGGCCATAGTTCCCCCATGCTGGCTCAGGAATTCTGGGAGTTGAAGTCCATGAGTCATGAAGGGGCCATAATTCCCCCATACTGGCTCAGGAATTCTGGGAGTTGAAGTCCACGAGTCATGAGGGGGCCATAGTTCCCCCATGCTGACTCAGGAATTCTGGGAGTTGAAGTCCACGAGTCATAAAAGAGCCAAGATTGCCTACCCCTGTTCTAGGCCAAGATAGAAAAACACTGGCCTAGACAATTTCCAAATAACAATGAAGTCGATGGCAGCACAGTAGGAATACAGAAGGTGGGAAAGTAAATTAGAAGCTTCCTGGATGAAAACTGTCACCACTGATGGTGGTCAAACTGGAAAAGCTGGATCTGCAATTCTCCTCGGCAGGTAATGGCAGAAGGAAGGGAAGAGTCCAAAAAAGGCTTTGTCATCATAGCCTACGACTGTCTTAATAAACCTTCAAACCTTTAAAGTTGAAGAGGACGAACCCCACAAAAAGAGGGGGTTCAACCTATTCTCCAAAGCCCTTGAAGGCAGGACAAGAAGCAACGGATGGAAACTAGTCAAGGAGAGACGCAACCTGGAACTAAGGAGAAAATTTCTGACAGTCAGAACAATTAACCAGTGGAACAACCTGCCTCCAGAAGCGGTGAATGCTCCAACACTGGAAGTTTCTAAGAAGAGACTGGACAATCATTTATCCGGAATGGTTTAGGGCAGTGTTTCCCAAACTTGACAATTTTAAGGCATGAGGACTTCAACTCCCAGAATTCCACAGCCAGCAACGCTGAATGTGGAATTCTGGGAGTTGAAGTCCACATGCCTTAAAATTGTCAAGTTTGGGAAACAATGGTTTAGGGTCTCCTGCCTGAGCAGGGGGTTGGACTAGATGACCTCCAAGGTCCCTTCCGACTTTATTATTCTGAATTCTGTCCTCTCTTTGATGCAGTGCTCTGGGGTGGAACAAGAGACACAGCTTTGGGGTTTGGGGCTGGGTGGGATGGTGTAAGAAGACAAAGCATCTCCCATCCTCCTCCAACCCCCCCCCCCACAAAAAGGAGGTCTTTTGCCAAAGGAAGAGAATTCATGTAGTCCTCAGCTTACAACCGTTGTGTTTAGTGAAGTTAGAATGGTACTGCAAAAAAGCGATATGTCACACAGAAGTCACAAAAGCGACGTTTGATCGTTTTCCACAGAACAGTGGCAGCATCGGGTTGTAAATTTTGATCACAGGATTCAAAATTTGGGATGTTTGACAACTGGTTCGTATTTACGATGGTCGCAGGGTCGTGTGTGTGTGTGTGTGTGTGTGTGTGTGTGAGACGTGGTTCCCCCTTTGATGACTTTTTTTGACTGACAAAGTGTATTCACTTAACCACCTTGCAAGACTAAGTTAAGGGATTCGCTGAATCACGGTGGGCAGAAAGCAGGCAGAAACAGGGCAAAACTCAGGGGACGACCGTCGCGCTTAGCCACGGAAACGTTGGGATCCGTAAGTCAAGGACAATCTGTATTGTGCCAAGCTTTCCATTCTTCCTCGGGCGTTGTAAAGTAGATTTCCAAAACTTGGCTTCTTGGGGAGGGGGGGTGTCTAATCCCCACCCTCTTCCCTTTGTTTTTTTTTTTGCCCCCCCCCCCCTCGCCCCGATAAGATTTGGCAAATGGATTTAGGGCAGAGGAATCCAGCACCTAATTCATCCTGCTTGGAAGCAGCCCCACCGTCCATTCTCATCATGCATTGTAGGGCGTGGAAGAACAATTTTAATGCAAAGGGACACACACACACACACAGAGAGAGAGAGAGAGGGGAAGGAGAACGGCTCTAAAAACATTAAAAGGGGGGGGGAATAATTTGCATCCTCTGCAAGGTCCCGAAGAACCAACTGGCCTCTTGCCCAGAAGACCCTTCTGGAAAACACAAAACGAAGCCGAGCCTGGAAGTGTTAATACCACTTTACAAGGCCTTGGTAAGGCCACACTTGGAATACGGCATCCAGTTTTGGTCACCACGATGTGAAAAAGATGCTGAGACTCTAGAAAGAGTACAGAGAAGAGCAACAAAGAGGATCAGGGGACTGGAAGCTAAAACGTATAAGGAACGATTGCTGGAATTGGGGATGTCTAGTTTAACGAAAAGAAGGACGAGGGGGGACAGGATAGCAGTGTTCCAGTATCTCAGGGGCTGCCCCAAAGAAGAGGGAGTCAAGCTATTCTCCAAGGCGCCTGAAGGCAGGACAAGAAGCAAAGGATGGGAACTAATCAAGGAGAGAAGCAACACAGAACTAAGGAGAAACTTCCTGACAGTGAGAACAATTAACCAGTGGAACCACCTGCCTCCAGAAGCGGTGAATGCTCCAACACTGGAAGTTTTTAAGAAGAGACTGGACAGCCATTGGTCTGAAATGGTGTAGGGTTTCCTGCCTGAGCAGGGGGTTGGACTAGATGACCTCCAAGGTCCCTTCCAAGTTTATCATCATCATCATCATTATTAAAATGGCCTCCTTCCTCAGCCATGGTGCTTCTTTGCCATCACTCACTCCCAAAAGTTACTTAGTGACCGAGTGAATCCAGTTCCTGGATTTGCACAAGGAGCGGACTCGCCGAGCGAGCTGGGTTGGCCCAACCTGCTCAGTCTCACACACACACACAACCACAGCACAACCCTCCTCCCCAGGAGTGAAAACTGGTCCAACTTGTGTTGTGTAAGGATGGAGGCGCGAGAGATTTTAACTGAGTCTTGATGGGTTTAATACGGTCTACAACTCCAATCTATCTCAGACTTTGAAAGGCCTGGACCAGAATTCCAGCTGGCTGGGGGAGTGGTGGATTCTGGGAGTTGAAGTCCAGGCATCTTATCAAGGTTCTTAAGTTGAGAAAGACTGCTGTAGACTCTCAATTGAGAATAATGGTTAGAGGGGGGGGAAAAAAAACCCAATTATTTTTTTTTCTGCTTGGAAACCGCTTCTGGATTTTGTGCTTGAGGTGGAAAAAAACAATGAAACTTTGATTTTGGGTTTTACCAATTAGTAGGTTTGTCGTTAGAGAAATGGCTGCTTTATATTATGATGGAAAAGTAAAAAAATTGAGGTTTGATGCTATTACCTTATTTTCACTGTACCAAAGGGAGCTGGAAGTCAACGCCTTTCTTTTCTCTATCCTACCTTCTTCCTGCACTTTTTCCTCCCTTATTTTTCTCCTTTTGGGGGGGTATTTTTGTATTTTATATTATAAACTAATTTTTAAAAAGAGAGCGAGAGAGAGAATAGTGGTTGCAGTCCCTCCAGAAGGAGGCAGCCTGGCCCCACGGATATATCTGGGATTCTATATCTCCCGTCAATTTCAGTCAGTAAAAAGTTTGTGAAATTTGGAGGTGCAAACATCTGGAGAAGGCTGTCTCCAGAGCAGTTGGCATTGGGGGTTACTGGAGATCAAATACCCTGTTCGGTTGGGGTCCTCGTGAGTCTACAAACACCCATGGGTTATCTTCTGCTCAGCTTGTGATCCGCCACCTCGACTTATAGGTCAGGGATAGCAAACCTTTTAGAGACCGAGTGCCCAAACTGCAACCCAAAACCCACTTATTTATCGCAAAGTGCCAGGACTGCATCAGCATTGTGTGCCGTGGGGGCAGGGAGGCCCTTCTGAGTGTTATCTCTGACACGCAAAAACTGGTGGCGCAAAAATGGGCCACTGTGCTGCAAGGCGCAAAAACAGCTGCCGCCACGCCACGGGGTGCAGACGCAAGGCGCTGTACCACGCAAGAACGGGGCAGGGCTAGTGGGTATCACGCAGGCACTAGCCCCACCCCATTTGCAGCGCATGCATGCTCGTGGCCCCATGCATGCATGTAAAATGCTACCCCCTCCCTTTTCTTCCAGTCCACCAATCGACAATGGTTGGTGACCTCTGCTCTACCACGTCTACTAGGGCTTGTAAGTCGGCCACTTTGCCTCCTTTGTGCTGGGTGGGGCTCCTGCTCTGGGCGCGGTGGCACGCGTGCCAACAGAGAGGGCTCTGAGTGCCGCCTCTGGCACGCGTGCCATAGGTTCACCACCACTCTTATAGGTAGTCTTTGATTTACAACTGTTTGTGTAATGACAGATCAGAGTGACAATGGGCTCATAAAAAGGGACTTATGACCCATCCTAAAAGTTAAAACCACTGCACCACCCCTCATATCATCGCCATATGTGACGATTGCAGCATCTTACAGCCGCCAGATCACAAGGTGCCACCTCCCAACCAGCAAAGTTAGCCAGGGAGAAGCTGGATTCAGTTAGCGACCGCCTGATTTACCCAACAACTGCAGTAAAAAAAAATGGTTTCGAAATAGGATATGGTCAGAGCACCGCTCACTTAGCCACAGAAATCCCACTTCTAATTGTGTCGTATGTCGAGGACTAGCTGTAGACCGCCCGTTTATCAACCAGAGGAGTCTTCGCTGTGCAGCAGCTAAAAATATGAACAAGCGCATTCTGATCTTGATAAGGTGGCCCAGTCAAATTTGGGAACGTCTTCCGACAACCCAATTGTTGGAAGGAAGTGTAGAAAGAGCAAATTAAACAACCCTCTTCAAAATCAGATTGAAAATGGCCTGGCATTCTCCATATGGAGGGCAAATGTATAAGACACGGGTAGGCAACCTGGGCTCTTTTATGACTGGTGGACTTCAACTCCCAGAATTCCTCAGCCAGCCACGCTGAGGGGAAAGGGAGAGGTTTCCAAGCTGAGCCATGCTGGCTCAGGAATTCTGGGAGTTGAAGTCCACGAGTCATAAAAGAGCCAAGGTAGCCTACCCCTGGCCTAGGGGATTCTGGGAGTTGAAATCCCAGATCAGGGGTAGGCAACCTTGGCTCTTTTATGACTCGTGGACTTCAACTCCCAGAATTCCTGAGCCAGCCAGGCTGAGGGGAAAGAGAGAGGTTTCAAGCTGAGCCATGGCGGTTCAGGAATTCTGGGAGTTGAAGTCTACGAGTCATAAAACAGCCAACGTTGCCTATCCCTGCCCTAGATGACACACAGACCGACTGGCCGACCAGGGATAGGCAATCCTGGCTCTTTTATGACTCATGGACTTCAACTCCCAGAATTCCTCAGCCGGCCATGCTGAGGGGAAAGGGAAAGGTTTCCAAGCTGAGCCATGCTGGCTCAGGAATTCTGGGAGTTGAAGTCCACCAGTCATAAAAGAGCCAAGGTTGCCTACCCCGGGCCTACACCAACAATAAGCCCTATCTTGATTTGGGGGGGGGGGCTAATATAAGCCATACCCCAAAATAAACCTTAGTTTTGGGGCGAGGCAAATACCTAAAAATCAAGCTAGGGCAGGGGTAGGGTGTGGATCTGCCCCACGCGCCTCACACCTGCTCACCTTGCAGCCAGGCCTCTCCTTGCCGGCCCACGTCTTCTTCTGAGGCCTCTTCTGCAGCTAGACCTGCATTTCTCGGTCACGGGGCTTTCCGGAAGGCCTCTGCAGTCAAGAACTGAGCTATGGGTTCAATCCATACCTCAATTCTGCAAGATCTCAGCAACCGAGGACCAAGCTATGGATTGAATCCATAGCTCGGTACTTGGCTGCTTAGGCCTTCTGGAAAGGCCTGACTGTCAAATGCAGGCCCGAATGCAGCTGCAGAACTTCGGCCCCAGAAGAAGTGGACCGGCTGGGTGGGGCTGTGGGTGCCGGAGGTGAGGTTAAGGCCTACCCCGAAAATAAGACCTGGTGCCTCTTTTGGAGGCAAAAACAAAATAAGACCCGGTCTTATTTTCGGGGAAACACAGTAGGTGGGCAGCAGCTGGAACAAGGAATGGGAGCTCACCCTGTCCAGCAGCGCTTGGGTCTCAAACCCAGGCTAGAAAGCTGACAAGCTCGGCGTCTTTACCCGCTGAGCCACTGTGCCCTAACAAATGAGTATCATCCCGATTATGAGGGTATAATCAAAAAGCTAAAACAAGAAAGCAAAGTGGAATCTCAGTCAAATTCTAGGAATTTTAGCTAGGTTTCCCCTGGGATTGCTTCAAATATAGGTCGTCCTCGACTTATACCCGTTCGTTTAGTGACCATCCAAAGTTACAACGGCACTGAAAAAAGTGCCCGATGACACCTTTTTCACACGACCATTGCAGCACCCCCCTGGTCACGTGATCAAAAATTCGGCCCCCTTGACAACTGACTCGTATTTGTGACGGTCGTGGCGTCCCGGGATCACGTGATCTCCTTTTGCGACCTTCTGACAAGCAAAATCAACGGAGAAGCCAGATCCATTTAAGAATCGTGTTACTAACTTCAGAACTGCAGTGATTCGCTTAACAACTGTGGCAGGAAAGGTCGTAAAATGGGGCAAAATTCATATGCACAGTGGTGGAAAAATGGGAATATACCATCAGAGGAAGAAGCGATAAGAAAAATCCTGGACTGTGCTGAGAGGGACAAATTAACAAAAGAGATCAAAGAAAAGGAAGACACAGAGTACTCTATAACATGGAACAAGTGGTATGACTGGTTGGAGACTAGAAATAATAGAGGAGAATAAATATGGAAAGGTCAAAAGTGAAAATATGTGTATAATAATGTATAATAATAATAATATGAATTCTTCTTAATAAGAAGTAGAATATGAAGGAAGAAAAATGTAAATAAGAAACAACGGGGCAATAAGGACAGATATTCTAAAGCAGAATAAGAGGGGAAATGTAAATAATAGAAGATTACCGTTACGTAATCGCTGTTAAAAAAAAGGGAGAGGAGTATATACGGTGTGTGTATGTGTGTTATGTTTTGCTTTGTTTTGTTGGTTAAAAATAAAATAAAATATATAAAAAAAATGGGGCAAAATTCACTTCACCACTGCCTTGATTAGCAGCGGAAATTTTGGTCTCAACGGTGGCCGTAAGTCAAGGACTACCTTGTATTTCTTGGCAAGGGAAAACTCCCCCCCCCCCACTTCAGCTTCTTTCCCCTCTTACCTTGTAAACCGAACTTTGCAAATGTTACACTCGTACGGCTTCTCTCCGGTGTGGGTTCGAATATGGCGCGGGAGCTTGCCGGCTCCTTGGATGACTTTCTCGCAGATGGGACATTTCTGGAATGCTTTTGCACGGATTTTCTTCTCCACCTTCTGAGACCAGGACGGATATTCGCCGCCCTCTTGGGAAGTGCTAAAATAATTCAAGTAATAATCCATGACTCCGTCGTCGTCCTTACGGTCCTCGTCGGCCAACTGCTGCCGTCCCACCGAATTGATCATTTGCTGCAGGAGCGCGCTGGCGGCCAAGCCGTCCACTTCCCGCGAGTCCTCCTCTCGCTCGGCTCCGCCGGAAGCAAACGCTGGAGAATCGCCCGCCTCCTGCTGGTCCAACGGAATGCCGGCTGGCCCGTCGTCCTCCCCCATGGACACCGGCAGGCTACGTCCACCGAACTGTCCGTTTTGAGCGGCGGGGAACAAGGGTGCCTGGCCCGTCACCTCGTCCTCGTCCCACATGGCGTGCTTGGTGTCGGGATCACAGTCATTTGCCTTTGGTCTGTCACTGAGAGCGGCCTGCGAGTAGAAGTCCATGCCGTTGCATTCCGGCTCTTCGTCCTCCTCTCGGCCATGGAAGGTGAGCCTCTGAAGGTCTCGCAAGTCGTGGTTGGTCCATGAAAAGGTGCCCTGTTGGCCGTTGATGGGATTACTCTGGAAAAACTCCAGGTATTCTTTTGCTCGGAGATGGTTCCTTTGATCAATTTGATCTACTGTATCCATCTGGTCCGTTTTGGCCAGAATCTTCCTGTCCAGGAGATCCGTGCAGACGTCCCTCACCGCCTCGATCTCTAGCAGCTTGGCGGCATTGAGGATCTCGCCGACGTTTGAAGTGCTGACGGTCAGAGTGGCGGTGTAGGCGAATTCCAGCAAGGCCGAGAGGGCGTCCCCGCTCACAAAGTCTATCTCGTACACGTTCTGCTGGTCAACCACCAGCCCTGAGGTGAAAAGCTTCTTGAAGTATTGGCTGCAGGCCGCCAAGACCGAGCGGTGAGTGGGAAACTCCTGCCCGTCCACCAGGATCACCACGTCGCAGAGGAGCCCGTTGTTTCTCTGTTCGTTCAGGCTGCTCAAGATGTCGCTGCTGTGGTCGGGGAAGGGGATGCCAATGGGGCCATCTACGCCACCCTCCATGCTGGCACCAGAGGGCTGTCGAGAGAGGCAACACACATGCGGTCAATTGAGGAAGTCAGCGGAAGTGGTTTCCCCTACTCCTCCATTTTCTACAGCCACACCAATTATTCCCCCTCTCCCTGCACAACCAATGAGAGTCATTACTCACATTTCCCTGAAAATAAGACCGGGTCTTTTATTAATTTTTTGCTCCGAAAGATGCATTAGGGCTTATTTTGGGGGACATAGAGTAACCACAAAATACCATATTTCCCTGAAAATAAGACCGAGTCTAGCATTGATGAGGAAACCACCAAGCTCAGAGAGCACCAAAACGCCATTTCCTTCCTTCCTTCCTTCCTCTCTACAAACCCCACTCCCTTTTTGCACTGATCAGATTGCCTAGCTGGGTCATGAGACGTCTGCAAGAAAACCACCAAGCTCAGAGAGCACCCAGGAGTCCACAGTCTTCCTCCTCCTCCTTCTCCACAACCCCCCCTCCCTTGTAGCACTGATATGTTACGTAGTTGGGTCATGAGACATCTGCAACGAAAACACCAAGGATCCTCCCAGTGTTTTAACTTTGTTTTAACTGCCGATTCCTATAGACCAGTTTTTCTCAACCTTGACAATTTTAAGGCATGTGGGCTTCAATTCCCAGAATTCCACAGCCAGCATTGCTGGCTGTGGAATTCTGGGAGTTGAAGTCCACATGCCTTAAAATTGTCAAGGTTGAGAAACACTGCTATAGACCCTGGGTGGCTTTATACTGTAAGTGTCAAGCCAGAAAACTAGTTAAAAACACACAAACCTTTCGAGGTTAAACCCGGAGAAATCAAGCCAAACTGACTAAAACAATCAAACCACAACAAAGGAGAGACCCCTCCCCTAGAAACACATTATTCCCAGACCTGAGACCTGAAGCATTTTGAGACCCCCAGGAGATGGGACTGTCCTTGTGTCTGGAGGTCGCAAAAGAGAACACCCATAAGGAGATAAGCTTTAACACAGTGGTGGTGAACCTATGGCACGCGTGCCAGAGGCGGCACTCAGAGCCCTCTCTGTTGGCACGCGCGCCACCGCTGCCAGCAGCAGGTCCATCAGGAGCCCCGCCCAGCACAAAGGAGGCGAAGCGGCCGACTTGCAAGCTCTAGTAGACGTGGTAGAGCAGAGGTCACCAACCATTGTCGATTGGTGGACTGGAAGAAAAGGGAGGCGGTAGCATTTTACATGCGTGCATGCGTGCCTGGGGCCCGCAAGCATGCACGTGCTACAAATGGGGCGGGGCTAGTGCCTGCGTGATACCCAGTAGCCCCGCTCCGTTCTTGCGTGGTGCAGTGCCTTGCATCTGCACCCCGTGGCGTGGCGGCGGCCGTTTTTGCACCTTGCAGCACGGTGGCCCATTTTTGCGCACCAGTTTTTGCGTGTCAGAGATGGCACTCAGAAGTGCCTCCCTGCCCCCCCCCACCCCCAGGGCACCACAATGCTGATGCAATCCTGGCACTTTGCGATAAATAAGTGGGTTTTGGGTTGCGGTTTGGGCACTCTAAAACAGCGATTCCCAACCTATGGGTCGCGACTATTTTTGGGGTCGAACGACCATTTTACGGGGGTCGCCAAACAACGCGATCTGCCATTTTTCCCCCTCAGGGGGTGGCGCCACGCATGTGCGCCATGCATGGGGGCGGCGCCGCGCATGTGCAGCGCGTCCGTGTGGCCGGGGGTCGCCGTATAAAAACGTTGAGAACCGCTGCTCTAAAAGGTTCGCCACCACTGCTCTTAACAGAAGGGACCTGGAGCGTAGCCATGCTGCCAGGACATACCGGGTGGGGTGGGGGCCAGGCAGAAACAGTAAGGGGTAGTAGTTACAGAGGTTTTCTGTCACAAAGCGCTTTATAACTGAGGACCCGCCCCTTGGGTTGTACCCAGAAGTCCAATGGCAACCAATGCAGTTTGCAGAGCAGTGGAGACACAGGGGCACAGAGGGAGGCGACCAGCGCGGCTTGTAACAGCTGTGCCAGTTTTAGATGGTCTGAAAGAGCCAACCCATGTAAAGCACTCCTTCCTTCCTTCCTTCCTTCCTTCCTTCCTTCCTTCCTTCCTTCCTTCCTTCCTTCCTTCCTTCCTTCCTTCCTTCCTTCCTTCCATCCATCCGTAACAAAATAACAGAGATGGAAGGGGCCTTGGAGATCTTCTAGTCCAGTGGTTCTCAACCTTTTTAATGCCGCGACCCCCAACCGGTCGTAAGTCGAGGACTACTCCACTGGTGCAGCACCGTTTGCAGAATGGGGCTTTTGGCGGGCTCAGCAGGGCAGAGACAGCCTGGACAATTCCTATTGGCTTTGGAAAGCCAGTAGAATAGACTCAAGAGAGTCTATTCTATTGGCTTTCAAAAGCCAATAGAATAAAAGGGAGGAGCACAGCTAAGGAAAAGGGGGGGGGAAAATGGTGGACTGCATTGTTTGGCGACCACCGTGAAATGGTCGTTCGATCCCAAATGGGGTCCCGACCCACAGGTGGAGAACCATTGTTCTAGTCCAACCCCTTTCCTTCGTTTTCTTCCCTCCCATGCATGCATGCATGCATGCATGCATGCATGCATGCATCCAATCCATCCATCCCTCCATATCTATCTATCCGTCTATCCATCTATCTATCTGAATTAACAGGAAGGGACCTTGGAGGTCTTCTAAGCCCACCCCCTGCTCAGCAGAAGACCTTATATCACCCCAGTCAAATGGCTGTCCAATCTCTTCTGAAAAACTTCCAGTGTTGGATCACCCACGATTTCTGGTGGCAAGCTGTTCCACTGGTTAATTGTTCTCTCTGTCAGGAAACGTCTCCTTACTTCCAGGTTGCTTCTCTCCTGGATGATTTTTTAGTATCTCTGTGGTCACATGATCAAAATTTGGGCACTTAGCACTGTATTTATGACCCTGGCAGCGTCCGGGGATCACGTGATCCCCGTTTGCAACATTTGCAGGTGGCTTCCAGCAAGTCAAGGGGCAAAGCCAGACTCGCTTAATGACGGCCTGATTCAGTTAACAACTGCAGTGATTGGCTTAACAACCACAGAAGAAAAAGTTGCAAAATCAGCGGCGTCTCACTTAACGTGGACATTTCAGTCCCAACTGTGGTTGTAAGTTGAGGACATTTTGCGTACGTTATTTGGATTCATGCTGTGATTGACAGCAATGACATCCAAACCCTGAACGGGAAACCCGACTTGCTGTCCTTCTAAAAATTCACACGGGCCTTTTCAAAAGCCCACAGGACTAGCAACTTATTATTTCAGGCTTTTCACAAATCCTAAAAAACATACAGGAAGTCCTCGAACTTACGACCACAATTGAGCCATGAACAGGGATAGGCAACTTTGGTTCTTTTATGACTGGTGGACTTCAACTCCCAGAATTCCTGAGCCAGCATGGCTCAGTTTGGAAACCTCTCCCTTTCTCCTCAGCATGTTGGGCTCAGGAATTCTGGGAATTGAAGTCCACAAGTCATGAAGGGGCCCTAGTTCCGCCATGCTGGCTCAGGAATTCTGGGAGTTGAAGTCCACGAGTCATGAAGGGGCCATAGTTCCCCCATGCTGGCTCAGGAATTCTGGGAGTTGAAGTCCACTCATGAAGGGGCCATAGTTCCCCCATGCTGGCTCAGGAATTCTGGGAGTTGAAGTCCACAAGTCATGAAGGGGCCATAGTTCCCCCATGCTGGCTGAGGAATTCTGGGAGTTGAAGTCCACAAGTCATGAAGGGGCCATAGTTCCCCCATGCTGGCTGAGGAATTCTGGGAGTTGAAGTCCACAAATCATGAAGGGGCCATAGTTCCCCCATGCTGGCTCAGGAATTCTGGGAGTTGAAGTCCACGAGTCATGAAAGGGCCATAGTTCCCCCATGCTGGCTCAGGAATTCTGGGAGTTGAAGTCCACAAGTCATGAAGGGGCCCTAGTTCCGCCATGCTGGCTCAGGAATTCTGGGAGTTGAAGTCCACGAGTCATGAAGGGGCCATAGTTCCCCCATGCTGGCTCAGGAATTCTGGGAGTTGAAGTCCATGAGTCATGAAGGGGCCATAGTTCCCCCCCATGCTGGCTCAGGAATTCTGGGAGTTGAAGTCCACAAGTCATAAAAGAGCCAAGGTTGCCTACCCCTGGCCTAGAATATCTAAGCAAGGCGGTTCTTAAAGGAGCTTTGCCCTATTTTACAAGTTTTCTTGCCACGATAACTAAGTGAATCACTGAAGTGGATAATTACGAACACGGTCGTTAAGTGAATCCAGTTTCCCCCTTGACTTTGCTTGTCAGGTCATAAAAGGGGATCACGTGATCCCAGGTTACTGCGACCGCCGTAAATATGAGTCAGTTGCCGAGCGTCTCTAATTTGGATCATGTGACCACGGGGAAATGCTGCAGCAGTCGCAAGTGTGAGTACCAGTACAGCTAGTCCTCACCTTAACGACCACAACGGAGCCCAAAATTTCTGTTGCTAAGCCAGACGTTTGTTAAGTGAGTTTTGTTCCGTTTTACGACTTTTCTTGCCGTAGTTGTTAAGCGGATCACTGCACTTGTTCAGTGACAACGGTTGTTAAATGAATCTGGCTTCCCCGCTGGTCAGAAGGATCACATGACCCCAGGACGCTGCAAACCGTCATAAATACGAGTCAGTTCCCGAGCGCCTGAATTTGGACCAGGTGATGGTCGTAAGGGTGAAAAACGGCCGTAAGGGCCAATGTAACTTCAAACGGCCACTAAATGGACAGTGGTAAGTCGAGGACTTCATTCTGGGGTCCGAGACATAAAAGCCAAGCATAAATTGTTTGGAACCGAAGCTCTCTACGGTATCTTTCTTCCTCACACGTTGTACACAAATCCCTCCAGCATCCTTGTTGTATGGCTAAACAACACCCTCCCACAACAAAGCAGCATCCCAACAGGAAAATCGGGCTCCCCACTCACCGCATGCAAATGTAGGAACGAAGAAAAACAAACTCTGATTTCCCTAACCACAGTTTACGGAATACAACCCTCCCAGGATGCT